AATTAAAATTGTGCAAAGTGATGGGGGGACTGAATTCAAAGCACTTTCACAATTCTTTCTTAATAATGGTATTGCTCACAGAATCTCATGTCTCTATACACCTCAACAAAATGGCCTTGATGAAAGAAAGCATAGGCACATTGTTGAGGTCGGCTTATCCCTTTTATCCCAATCTCAACTTCCATATAAGCATTGGGATGATGCTTTCTTCACAGCATGTTACCTCATTAACAGACTTCCTTCAAAAATCCTTGATTACAAATCACCATTGGAGCTACTGATAGGTAAGAGGCTAGATTATACTCATCTCAAAGTGTTTGGCTGTTTGTGCTATCCATATTTAAAGCCTTATAATAAGCACAAGTTAGAACCAAGAACATAGCCTTCAACTTTCCTTGGATATAGCCAGCAATATAAAGGTTATAAAGCATTACTTCCAAATGGAAAAAAACATTATTACCAGACACATACATTTTGATGAAACCATTTTTCCTTATTTTCAAAAATACCAATCTCAATCTGGTAACCAAAATAACACTCCTCAATTCATTCCTCAAACACCTATCACTTTACCTACTCAAATTCCAACAACACATCCAGAAAGTCAGTCACCTCATATACCTTCAACACCTAATCATCACAATTCACCAAGCCAACACTCCTCCACAGGTTCATCTTCTCCACCTAGCATTCCCATTGGAGATATTTCTGTAGAGTTACCAATACAGAGAAATAATGAGATTCATACTATTCCTAACATGCCTGAAAGAATTAATGAAGCATTGCAGGATAACACTCATCACATGGCAACAAGGTCAAAGGAGGGATCTTTAAGCCAAAAGCCTACTCATGTGATGTAAAGAAAATGTGATGGATCATAACATAGAACCAAGGAATATGGATGAGGCCTTTTCATCTTCTGACTGGAGAGAAGCCATGAATAAGGAATATAAATCCCTTCTGAAAAATAACACATGGTCTCTGTTTGAACCTCCTGATCATAAAGATGTTGTAGGAAGCAAATGGGTGTTTAAAATCAAGAAGAATGCTGATGGGACTGTTGCCAGATATAAAGCAAGGTTAGTTGCAAAAGGATACACACAACAACCTGGTTTTAATTACACAGAAACATACAGTCCGGTTATAAGACCAGTTACTATAAGGACTGTGCTTGCAATTGCTTTACCAAGATCTTGAAAACTCAGACAGGTGGACATTGACAATACATTTTTATATGGTGATCTTGACATTGATTTATATATGGAACAGCCACCAGGGTTTGAGAAATCAGATGCCACAGGAAAACCTTTAATTTGCAAACTTCACAAGTCAATATATGGTTTGAAGCAAGCATCTAGAGCCTGGTCCTCTAAATTATCCAAGGTACTTGAATTTTTTGGCTTCTAGATGTCAAAAGCATATTCTTAATTGTTTTACAAGCACAAAGAGGGTACATCTACCTTCATCCTTACTTATGTTGATGACTTGATCATTACTGGAAGTGATGAAGAGTACACACAGCAAGTTATCAATGATTTGTCCAAAGTCTTCTCGTTAAAGGATTTGGGTGAGTTAACTTACTTTTTAGGTCTTGAAGTAATCAGAAATTCAAATGGAATTCTGTTATCACAAAAGAACTACATACAAGAAGTTCTGACCAAAGCTAAAATGCAAGAAAGTAAATCTCTCAACACACCCATGGTAACAGCTCATCTTACAAAGTTTGAAGGTGAACCTATGGAAGATGCCTATGAATATAGAAGTCTGATTGGAGCTCTTCAATATGCAAGCATCACAAGACCAGACATATCATTCAGTGTAAATAACTAAGCCAATTCATGCAAAATCCCACAAAGACTCATCCCAAGGCATTAAAAAGGCTGTTAAGATATTTGTGTGGAACTTTAGAATATGGCTTGCAGTTTTATGAAAAATCTCATGGACAAATCATTGGGTTTGCTGATGCTGACTGGGCCTCTTACATAGATGATAGAAAGTCGACTTCAGGTATGTGTGTTTACTTAGGCAAAAATCTGGTTACTTGGAGTTCAAAGAAGCAGAACATGATTTCCAGATCAAGTACAGAATCTGAGCTTAGGAGCTTAGCTTCAGTCACATGTGAGATAATGTGGCTACAGTCTCTTCTCAAGGAACTTCTGTTTGAGAATAAATCACCCTCGACAATATGGGTAGACAACAGAAGTGCAATATCCTTGGCATGCAATCCCATTCAGCATTCAAGAACAAAGCATGTAGAAATTGACATGCATTTCATAAGAGATCAGGTGAACAGTAAAAGAATCTCTATACAACATGTGCCTACCCTATATCAAGTTGCTGACAGCCCTTAGGTGGACAATTCTTCACTCGTTTGCGTTCACAACTTAATGTTGTTACCAACCTGATGTTCGAATTGAGGGAGGCTAAAAGAAGTCAACATGCACATGCACGTGTCAGTCATAATAGGATTGAGTCCAAAGCATCAAACTCACCTCAGCATGATCTTATGGAAGTTGAGCACGACGTGGACGTGCTGCATGGCAATGTGCTACGTGATGGTGGAAGGAAACGGTCACATTAACTTAACTGCCATATAGTGTTTTATGTATATATATGTATTACTGAGTTTGTGAATTTAAGCTTCTTGAATTAATGAAAAACTGAGTTATTAAGACTTGATCATTGAATTAAGTGAAAGTTTTTCCATTATGTTTGCACAAGAAATCTTTTAGCTTTAATCATTTTTTTTTTTTTTTTNTTTTTGGGTTAGAATTTCCTTTTTCCTTTTCCAATTCCTGAATTGTGACGTTGTTGTCAAATGAGCTTACACACAATGAATTTAGATGACTTTGCTGGCACAAAAAAATGGTTGACTTCAGTTTATAAAATTATCAAATTAAGTCTTAAACTTCGTTATCTTTGAAACAAACATAAACTACTACTTATAACCTTGTATTAATTTACTTTTCTCCTAAACTTTGTTTAAGTTCTTTTCCAAATCTTGATTTTATATCTCAGACGTGACAGGCTAGTGTTTAATTACCGACTTTTTCTACAGAATAATTTCACTTACGCAAAGTTGAAAAGGATGGCAAACAATAAAAATTGAATAAAATATATTCCGTCCAAGGAACAAAAATATATTTAGGTGGAATTTTGTAGCGCTTCAATTCTTTTCTTCGTCTGGTGAAAGATGCCAATGAATATAAATCCAATATGTGCAGATGCGTCATTAACCACCATTTTGTTTTTGTTCTTTGTTTTTTATAATGGCTTGTTCTGGCTCTTGTGGTCACACATATTAAAGGATCTTTTATTATCTAAAAATTTATAATAACTTATTTCAAAAAAGAAAATAAGATGTTGGTATGATTGGATATATCTTGTTTTGGGAGAAAATTTTATTTGGACNCTAGTTAAAAAAAAGTTCTTAAAATTAATAATTAACCTAGCAGTCATAATAAGGGTTTTATTTGACAAAATGTTGAAAAGCGATTTTATTGTCATTTTAAGAAAATAACAATATTATTTTTTAAATATTACTTAAAAGTTGAATAGAAGAAGTCCTTATTTTTGGTTTTTACTTTATTTTTGTATGTATATACACTTATAATTAACACTCGCATATTATACCAGTTTTGTACTACTATTACTTTAATTTAACTATTGTGTTAGTAATATTAACGAAAAGAAAACAAATATTATATATTTTTATTGGTGGATAAATAAATATGTCTGTATACACATACCAATCCAACTTAACCTAAAAAATTATTTCAGTATCTGTTTCCTTTCCTTGGATGCTTCTTCTTTTCTAATGTTCTTTTTCTTTAAAAAATGTTGCATCCTCTTTTTTTCTTCCTAAAAATCAATTGCCTTTTTAATTGAGATAACCTTCAGATTATGGCAATACTCAATGTTGATGACTTTTTGATTTAAAATGATTGCTTTGGTAAAAAATATGCCATTTCACCTAAAAGTAAAACAAAAAGTAAATAAAAACCAAAAGGAATTCCTAAAGCTTTATATTATTCCTATTTAGTACTACTTTTTATTCTTTTTAAATGTCATTTTAGCTTTATCAACTATTATCCAAATAAATGTCGTTTTGAATTTTTTGTACATATTTTTCCATTATTACCCTCATTTAGCTAATAAATACACTACGTCTTTTCATATTCACTCTTCATTTCTTCCCAAAACATCATTTTCTATCTTCATTAAAGAGAGTTATTATTGACAAAAAAAATATCCTTAATTACTGTGCAACTTCTTAAAACGACACTTATTATGAATAGGAGGAAGTACATATTACAAATTTGCAGAGGTGACCAGGTCAAAATTATAACCAACTAATTCACCACACGCTTAAATTTTACCAAACACGTTACATTAAATAACTTGAAGAACATAGTACTAAATCAAGAATTAAATTAAAGCAACATTGGATTGCAAGTGAGAATTCTCTTAAATTTCATAATCAAAAAGCCTTTGATTTAGGCAAAATATATCAAAAGCTAATATTGGGGGAGCTAATTAGTAATTACAACTTCCTAATCACACTCATTGAACGAAATCTCAGTGACCCCACTTGAACACGAAGGTGAGGATGGAATTTGAGCCAATGAAAACCCCAAATTCTCTGATTTGTTGCTCTTAATTTTCCCAAAACGAGTTCTTGATTTCTTTTTCCTTTGGTACACTCGGCAAGCAACCCAATCCCCTACTTGCACCATTATTTTCTTAAAAAAAAAAATGAAAATTAATATTTAATCAACCAATATATACAAATTTTGATTAAAAAATCACAAAATTGTGGTGTAAAACAACCTTAAACAGTTAGATGGGTCCACCCATCCTAGATTTCTAAAAAAAATACATATTTATATTATAAAATGTCATACCATTGTTTCTTAGAGTATACATTTCAGACTCAAAATACATATACATGTTGATAAAATCATTAGACTATTGTATCAACATATATGCACACTTTTGAGCTAAAATCTCACACCCTAAAGAACAACATAAACAAGAGTATAACATTTTGTAACATAAGTATGTATTTTTTTAAAAAAATGATGAAATGACCCGTCTAACTAATGTTGTATTGCATAATACAAGAATTTGTGAGAAAATATGTTTGTTACCGTTAGTTAACAGACAGTGAAATGTACCTGAGTTGAGTATGGTGAGCTAATAGAGCCAATGAGGCAAAATTCTTGCAAAACCCATTGAGTTTTGAGTCCACGAGAACTTTTTGTTGCTAATTGATTGTAAACATAAGATTTCTTAAACCCAATTATGAGGTTGTTAGCCAATATTTGCTTGTCTTTATTACGAGAGCCTTTCCAATTGCCATAGTCCGCGCTGAAATTGGTACTGCATTTGCTTTTCAAATTCATCTTCCTTTGGCAGAAAAAGTATCTCTTCTCTTTCAAGTCACCTTCATTAGTCAAAAAAAGAATCATTATAATCTTAGTTGGTAACTAAATCAAACAGTGTAAAAAAAATACTACTAAATAAATAAAAGGAACACACACATAATTTTCCAAATACATATCTAAAAAGAACGATTCTGATAATGGAATTAAGGAATTTCATGGTAAACGATTGAAAGCCCCAGCTGGCTACCAATACTGCACAACTTATAAAAATTAATAAATGGTTGACAGTAATAACTCACACCACATTTACTAAAAATAACGTCAACAGACAACAAGAACTGTATGCTCATTAAATTTAGACCACAAATTGAAAAATAAACTATGCAGTAGAAAAAAAGATAATAAATTTTTTTTTTTTAAAAAAAGTGAAAAAAAAAGAGAAAATTGTTAATTTATTATTACCAGGCAAGTCCCATGGATTGAGGTGAAAAACATCCAGCTCAGGAATAACAGAGACTGGCAATGGCAGTGAAAAAACCTTTCTTTTCAAGTAATGAACCAAAAGCTCTTCATCTGTGGGCTGAAATCTGAACCCAATTGGAAGCTTACAAACAACCCCATTTTTTTCCTGTTCAAAGTTTGCTCGGTCCATCTTCACAAACAAAATAGAGGAGGAAGACAAAAATGAAACAGAACTATATATAAAAAGTAAAATGAAATGAAACTCTGTTTAGAAGGGAAAAAAGGGAATTTAGAGAAGAATTTTAAGAAGCAAAAAGGAGATTATTTTTGTTGCTTTTGAGCTTGGTATTTGAGCAACACAAGTCTGACTTGTGTTTATAGTTTTGTCTTTGTGGGCTATGTTTTCTTGTAAGAAATGTATGTGCTATCTATACTTATATTAAAAAGTATAAAGAAAAATCAACAATATTTATTGCATTACTATTTCCGTATTATACAATCTATACGTGAGATTCTATTTACTACATTTAATATACAGAAAAGTCAACTGCATTAAATGTCATTACTATTTTGGTACTATAAAAATTTTATTTATTTAATTGATTTATTTATTTGTTTTATTTTAAAAAGGTAAGTATAATAAAAAGATTTTAATAATAAAAAAATTAAATACCAAATAAAAATATATATTTTGACTTATTTGATTATATTTGGTATTTGATTATACCAAATATATTAATATTTAGTATATACATTAAATATTTACTAAAATATTTATTTGTTTTATTTGTCAAAGTTAAGTATAGATTTGTTTATATTATCAAATTATAAAAAAATATTAAATCCATATTGTAAAAAAAAAATCATATAATTTTATAACAATTTCACAACACTATTTAATAATATTTCTTTTTTATTATATAATAAAATAATAATTAAATATTATATGGTGAACAACAATAAGTAAAACTGTTACTTTCTCTTATATCAACGGATAAATTTATATGCTAAAATTAAATTTTTATTAGTATAAATGTTTTAGTGAGATAATATATTAATTATTTTACAAGCTAATCCTAACATGCTCCTATTTAATATCTTAAAAGATGTAGAAAAAAAATTTATAATAACTCTATTGTTTTTTAGACTTAAACGTTGATTAAAGAGGTAAAAATTCCTAATTTTTTTGACTAAACTTTGATTAACGCCATAGATTGAGAGTTTATATTTAGTAAAATTCCTAATTGTAATAAAAAAATTATTTTTTGCTATATTTTAGAATATCTTTAAATTCATTATAAAAAAAAAGGAAAAAAACTACAATGATAAAGCAAGTCAGTTATATATCGATTTGTTGTACTCCTCAAATCACATTCACAATTTAGCTACAAAGAAAGAAAACTCATTGATTAAATATTATTTTGTCAGTAGTCTTAATGTACAAGAGACTTTAAGACTCCACTTGAATATTATAAAACTTTTATTGAACATTGTACAATTTTCTTGCGTATTATAAACTTTTATTGAATATTGCATCTTATAATATAAGTTTCTCAAAATAAATATATCTCGTACTTCGCACGGGTCACGTACTATATATATCCCTACATTTTTCTTTGTTCATGTATATAATTATAAGTCTGAATAAATAGTCTTAAAATTGTGCACCTCGTACATCGCACGGGCTTTGTACTAGTTTATTATATAAGGGGTAAACGGAAGGGGGGAAAAAGAAAAAAGTGTAGGTACAAATCCTGTACATATTTTCGGACACGAAAAAGAAAAAAACCACTTTTAAAATGCTATGGTATTGGTAACCAGCCTAACATTCCATTGAATATTCGACATAATTTTTTTTGTGAGATAGTCTAACGGTCAATGAGTCGATATGTGATATTTTTTGAATAAAAATCAGTATTTATATTGACAAATCTTATACTTTTTTTTATGTTTTTTTTTATAAATATGTTACTTGTATATGAAAGTATGCATCATACATATTATTTTCTACTATATTAATAAATTTGCTGATTTTTAAACTTTGACGTCGTATTTTAAATAATAATACTAATACGAGTGTGGCTAAATAAAAGTGTGGCATTTTTGTGATTTTTGTTAAGGTAGTATACAGAACGAAAATTGTGTTTTCAAGATGAGCATGTGAATAACTTTTGTCTATGACCAAAAATATCTTACAAAGAGGGCTTAATAGTTAATACTAGTCCCTAACAGCGTTTTTTTTTTTTTTCAATTAAATTGCACAAACTTGATTTGATATTTAAATGCAAAATAGTTACTAATGAAGTTTTCTCCATTTTACCAACTAAGACAAGAGTATCTAAAACATTTGTTTATCACAGTAACAAAGCATTCATTGATCTCACTTGTTTTTAGGTAGGCCTTAAATTTTTGAGAACCGAATACCTATACGTGTGTGCGTCTTTCTGGACACATTAATGACATTATTTTTTGTTTTTAATTAATTTTGAAGTGTTAATTTTAAGTTTTTCACAATCTGTCCCCTCAAAATTGACACAAACTGTCAGCCAATGTGGCCCAACAAGACTCATTCTTCACCACGCAAACCTCCTAAAAACATCATAATTTCCCATTTTGTGAATTATTATCAAATCACACGCATGTCTTAATATTTCAGATTAGTAAAGTTTGGATAATTATATGAATTGCATTAATTTTATGAATCTTGGTGAATCCATTCACCAGCAATTATGCATTTGTATGCAATTTCAAGCAGTGACCTTAAATTTTAGATACGTTGCACTACTTATTTGGAGGAATCATTGTTCTAAACAACTTTCATTATCAGGTGTCTTTTTTATGATGTTGATGTGTCTAAATATCATGGGCGGATCCACATTGAGGTTGGGAGGCCATTGTCCCTCCCAAGATTTCTCTAAGGATGTGTGTATATTATGCTATTGAACTTACTATTTGCTCCCAATAAAAAAAAAAAACAAAACAAAACAAAAAAAATCATGTAAGCCAAATACACTTTACTTTTAGCTATAATTCTTGTAAGTTCTCTATATAAAATACTTTATATATTTAGTTTTTTTATTTATATTCTAATTATATCAGAAGTAATTTGATGAACATTACTTTTATATTGTTTAGTTTTTTATTTATACTCTATGATATATGAGAAGTAATTTGATAAACACACACTCTAAATATGTACTTTTTTGTGGTTGAGAAAAAAAAATATAATATTTATTGAGAGAAAATGAGGGCCTAAAGTTTACCGGTTCAATATCTATAGCTTTTATGACTTAAAGAAAACTATGCAATCTTAGTTGTACCGTAATTTGAAACGTATGCATTTTTTGCTCTTATATTAAATGTATCACATTATTGAAAGTAATATTGCCCGCCTCAATATATTTTTCTAGATCCGCCCTGTGTGTCTTATTTATGATGTTGATGTAGCACCAGAAATAACTCGATGGACCGGCCTGACCGGTGAGCTCGGATAAGGCCAGTCCAAGGGAGCTTGGAGCCTATTGTATGTGATACCCGGTATTAGTTAAAGATAATGATGAAAGTTGGTGTATATCTACACAGTTATTGAGGAACATCTTATTAAGAAAACTCATTATCTAAAGCCCTCCAGGTTTATTTTCTAAAGCTAAGCTCTTAAGATTACTTAAGATACACGATCAAAATATCCGTTTTCTTGAAGACGAAGACGATCGAGCGTTCGAACTCTCATGCCAATCGAGATGAGGCGGTTCGACCGACAACCTCGGTGAGTCCGATTATTTTGGATGTCTATAAACTTTTGTAAAATTTAACTTAACGTGTATATGTCCTAAAGGAATGCAAAAACATATTTATGACGTTAAGAAAAAAAAGTATAAATATAAACATAAGACGAAAAGGAAGGATTTCTGGGTAAATTTATCTCAGAGAAATGTCAATTATCGGCTGGAGTATGGGCCTTTGACCAAAGAATTAAGCTGAACTATGGACCATAAAGTGAGTCCAATGTCAACTGAATCATGGGCCGAAAAGAAAATGTCCCAACAAGGATCCACGCCCATTTGGTTTGGACCAATTAAGTCTGTAATTGACACCCATTATGTCTTTTAAAAACTGTTTACATAAATCTATATATATATAACTAGTGTATATCCCGTGCGATGCACGGAAGAGTTCATATTTTAAACATTTTTTAAACTTTATTTTAAATATAATTATTTATATTTTTCACATCTCGTCTATTATGAAAATAAAATAAATACAATCAATGAAAAATATATAATATTAAGTACTTTTCTTTATACAATATTTTTTATTTAAGGAATATTATTAAAACTTACGGTTTTGATTTGTTTTTTTAAATCAATAATCCAAAATATATGATTGTTAAGTACAAAAAATAATGGAAATAATCTAGACTTTAAAGTAAAGCTATTTTTTATTATTTTACAAATAAAAATCTTCCAATTTTTTTTAATTTAAAAAAAAAAAAAATTGGCACGTTTGATAATGAGTTAAATCAAGTTATACAAATGATTAAATAGTTAAAATGTTATATTAATTATATTTTAAGAAATTCGATTATATAAAAATGGGTAAAAAATATTATACTAATTAGTTTGTTAGGATTGTGATTATATGGAAGTTAAAATAAAATGAAATGTAACCAAAAAATTTGTTCGTGATTTTTTCCTAAATGTTTGAATTTAAAAATCTAGTAACCAAATTTACATTATATCACGTAAGGAAAAAAATAAATAATAAGTATAACTAAAGAGATAAATCAATAATATTTATCACTTAGATAATAAATAATAAATGTTTACATGTAAAAAAATAAATAATAATATATTTAAAAATATAAGTCAGAATTTCAAATAAAGTAAAAGGAGGGATAACTCATTTTTTAAAAAAAGTTTCTAAATATTTAATATATTGATAAGTATCTCCATAAGAATAATCATACCATTTTAATTTTAAAAAATTGACAAGTTTGTTAGAGAGATAAATCCGGTTAGACAAATGATTAATTTGTTAAGATATTATATTAATTGTATCATAAAAAATCGGTTAGATAATGCAGATAAAAAAATATAATACTAATTAGTTTGTTAGAAATGTGATAATGAAAACCAAGATAAAATGAAATTTACCCAAAAAAATTGTTTGGAATCTTTTCCTATAAATGTTTGAATTTACAAATTTAATACCGAAATTCTATTATATCACATAAGGAAAAAATAAATAATAAACGTTTATTAATATATTAAAATATGTAATTTTGAATTTCATATAAAGTAAAAGGTATGCTTATTCAAATTTATTTTTAAATTAAAAGTTATGATAAACATTTATTGATTCTCTTTCAAATATATTAATAAAATAA